AGTTTTGTATTCTGATTTTTTATTCAGAATATCAAGGACTTCCCCCATATTGTCACTTTTCCTTCAGAAATGTGTATTTAATGAATGCATGACACTCCGTTGTGTCAATGCACCTACAGGGCTTTTAGGTTGCCTTCAAGTTTCTCCTGTTAGAGATAAACCAGCAAAGACTGCCTTCTGCGGGATCTCGTCAGCACTTGTGCGTACAGTCTTTCCTTACACAGACTCCTAGTAATGGGTTTGCGGGTTAAATGCTGTAAACTCTTAAGGCCTCTGAACATGTCGCAGCAGCGCCACACTGATGTGAGTGTCCATTAGCAAGACAGAGTTTCTCCTTTTGTTCTCTCCTTGCCATTACTGCTCACCAGTGTTTCCTAACTTTGCTAATTCTATGGGACAGGGGGAGGCCTGAGCTCCGGCTTGCATTTTTTTCTAAGTCATGTATTTGGAATTAAATATATATTTTCGTTTTGTAGTTTTGACTCTCCCCCTCCTTTCTCCCTAGATTGTCCACTGGATTATTTATAATTTTCTTAATTTTTTATGGAATTGGTGAGCCTGCATATGTGCGTCTACAATGGACACTGATTTATACGCATACACACACTGGTACTGACACACATAGTTAACTTACTATTTTTTTTTATTTATTTATTTATTTATTTATTTATTTATTTTTTGCGAAACCTGGGATTGAACTCAGGCCCTTGTAAGGAAGGAAGTGCTTATTCTACTGAGCCATCTCCTGGGCCTACTATGTTCTTAAGATACTGTCGTGGTTTGGGCTTTTTGCAAGGGGAAAACTACAAAATAGGACACATTTTATAAGATCATTTTATAATCACCCAAAGGGTCACATATGAAGAAGGCAGGAAATCTGTGCACACACTAAAGACTGAAGAGTCCAGCTGCTGGCCTGGATCCTAATATCCTGAGTGAGTCCAGCTGAAAACCTAGAGCCACAACAATGCCTCTTAGAAGTCTAACTGGAGGCCTAGAGCCCACTACAGTCTCATGCAGGCCTGCTTCACAGGTCTATGTTGGAAAGGCCCAAAGGCAGTGATGGAAGCTAAGAAGTCTATGCCAGGGGGATGAAGGATCTGTGCTAGCAGGCTGAGAGATCTGAACGGGAGCCAGGAAGCGATGGTCAAGGCAAGCACTGGAGCTCATCCCAAAAGCACCGCAGCCAACCTCAGCAACAGTGAGGTCCCGAGCTCCTCCAGGGAGGAGGAAAGCCAATGCGACAAGCTGCTGCAGGAGCCTGAGCTGTGCACCATCTTCCCCTCCAGAGCCAGCATGTGATGTTCAAAGTGAGGACCAGAGCTCCCCCAAAATGATTCAAAACAATCTTCAGATCATGAGGTCCCGAGCTCCTCCTCCAAACAGAACAGCCAAGTTCACCAGGAAAGCCAGCCTGACCAGGTACCCCAGCAGAACAGCCAAGCAAGCCAGCAGCTTCTAGCACCCCAAACAGCTTCCCTAACAGCTTCTCAGTAGCTTCCCCAGTTCTTCCTCTTATACTGCCAGCAACAACCCTCAGGTGGGCCTCCCACATCCAGCACCAGCTAGTTCAGTTCAGCTGGGTATAACAAGCTGCCCACAGTTAGCAACGCACTACCTTCCTCTTCCCACCACAACCCAGCTGCTCTCACGAGCTGTTCTTACCGAGATCAGGATGGCCTTGTTGCCAGATTTCTTGGCGACCTTCTGGAACAACTGTACTTGGGGATGTGGCCCAAGCTCTCTTCTACTTGCTGCAGGTAGCAAGCTCTGCGGTAGCGAGCTCTCAGGTCCCTTCTGCAAAGTGGCGTGCTCTCCGCTCAGAGCCTATGCAATCCCCCTATGGTTTAAATCACCTGTGCACGCCTCACAGTGCCTCACGTAACACAAATGCCCTGCTCACAGGTGGTACACTGTATGCGTAAGGGAATAACGACAAGAGGGGACAGGTCTGAATGCTTTCAGTATGGACACAGTTGTTTTCCATGTATTTTCAATCTGAGTTGGCTGAATCTATGGATGCAAAACCTGCAGGTACCAAGGGCCAGCTGGCCTTCCTCCACATCCGGCCCTTCGGAGAGGGTGAAGGACAAACGGCCTGTCTGGGTCTCCTCCTCCCCTGATTTGGATGATGGTCACCCCGAAATCTGACAGTTTTCAGACACTCCTGCCACACCACACTTCTGCCCAACAGCAATGAGCCACAAACTGCCCTCAAAGGCCCCTTTCCTTGGCTTAACCAGAATTCTAAGGGTCACAAATAATTTCCCCCAATGACTGAAATATATTGTGCTTACAACTGCACAAGAGATTGAAATAAACTGCTTTTTATTTGAGCAGAAAGCAAAATAAATCCCTCCAGCATGGACACAGCAACATTCCAATTACCTCATCGAGGACGTTGGAGACAACAAGCTTATCCAGGATGGGGACCTGGGTGGAGCTGTGGGGCACCGACAAGGCATCCATGAGGGTGAGCTTCTTGGCCACCAGGCCATGGGTCTGCAGCCAGTTTGCCGAGGACATCTCTGAAGAGCTAGGAGCACAAGACTGTGGGTTATAAAATGGATCGCTTGGCTGGTAACAAACAAAACACAGGAAAGTTGTGCTTGAACATGAAAGCACTCACTCCTCCTCGCAAGCTTGGCTCCCTTGTCTAGTCGATCCTTCTGACAAATCATCATCCGGGTCCTCGCTCATCAGCAGGGCACTCAGTTCTGTGGAGGGAGAAGCGGCAGCTGTGTACGATCCCCTTTGTGAGGTTAGTATCAAAACACAAAAGGATCACCCGTGTTCCGTCCAGGCCTTCCGAGTGGACCATCTTTCAGACACCGTATCTGGATCTTTCAGTGGGCTCCTGGACAAGATGCACTTGGGATTTACCCACAGACCATGGCGCCGGCGAAGGTGGTGCCGTGCTACCACTTATCTTCTTTACCCTAGGTCCACTGCGATCTCTAGCCCTGAAAAAATCAGACATACTTGTCCTCTTGGTCTCCAGAAAAGATATTTTAAATTTTCCATGAAAACACCATGAACACCAGGTTGTTTGGCCTGGTTTCATTAGACATCTTGCACTTATAAAGGAGAGGTGTGACCAGCGTCTCAGATGCTGTTGACTCATTCTGAGGCTCCTCAGCTCTATGTGGAAAGCCAGAGACTTCAGCTGTAAGCTCAAGCTTTGAATTAACATTTGGGATTTTAAATGCATGTCTTCACACAACATTGGACTTAAAGCTGGGAAGGAATGTTATTGCCTGTTGAACAAGCAGCACTTAGAGGAGGGGTGTTCGGGTATGAGCCTAAAGAGCACATCCTACTCACATCCTAAGAAATCCTTTCCTATTCACCATACAATAAACACTTAAGGGTGTGTGCATTATGGCAGGTTAAAGGGTGCCTGAGCAGACCCATACTGGCAGCCCCACAGGAAAGGGGCTGGATTAGTTGCGATAAATGACAGGTGTCACTTTGTTGCTTCCTACTATCTAGGTGATTGTGTGTGTGTGTGTGTGTGTGTGTGTGTGTGTGTGTTTTAGGGAAGGGTCTACAGGATGTTCAGGTTTCTTACTATTAGATCAGACTCGTAGTGATCTGCCTGTTTACAGCTTCCCAAGAGTTGGGATTACAGGTATGTGCCACCACGCCCAGTCTCAATTGCTGTCTCAGCAAGCCCCAGGGGTGGGGCTGGCACGCCAGGCCCAGGGATTGAACTCCCAGCCTCTGTGTCTGCCTAAGCAGGCACTTTAATCTGCTAAGCTATTTGGCTGACCCTAAAATTTATTATTTTATGAATACCACATTTATCAATCATGTTAGATATTGAATGGGTACATTGTATTTCCCTCACCTTTAGCCTGCAAAGCCTGAAATTTGGACCAAAGAGTGGCTCATCAGATGGGACCACCAGTGAATGGAGAGAAGGAAATGAATCCACCCCGAAGTCCCAGAGTTTCCGATCGAAAGCCGAGAGTGGCAGCAGGCATGAGCCCTGGCACCAGAGTTATGTGGACCGCTTGTGCTAAATGCCCGAGCACAGGTAGCATAAGTCCAGCCCCTAAATCCATGCACTCCCACGGTGGGCCTGGTTTCCAAGGACCCTTTGCACGGGAAATCATCTGGAAACTTTGTTTTCCCCAAACATCTCCACCCAGATCCTTTCAGAATAGGAACACTGGGCAAAAGGAAGCCAGTGGTCCCCGAGAGAGGGGCCCCTGGGGCTTGCCTTGGTTGCTCAGAGTGCTGCTCCAGGTGCTGGAGGTGGAGGGGCTGTCCCTCCTGTGCTCCAAGGCCGAGCTCTTGAGTGTGGACATCTGGCTTCTGAGGAGGCTGGTTTTGGTTGATTCTGTTGGTAACATAAGGAGATGTTAAGAGAATTGGGGGGAAAGGGCCGACTTCTGGAGGTACAACTATTTTACTGGATCTGTGAAACAAGAGGACTATTGCCTTTCCCAATCTGAGAGGATGGGGACACTGCCACAACACACATGCTGGGATAAAGGTTTGATCCCTTGCTCTGAATTCAACCCCTCATGGGAAGAAAGTCACTTTGAGCTCACTGAGGTTGTCAGCAGAATGCGCTCCCTTGTGGTTGTAGGACTGAGGTCCCTATTGCCTTGGCAGCTCTGGGCCAGGAGCCCCTCTCATCTTCTAAGTCTCCTGCATCACTTCCACCATGGCCCTCCCATCTCCAAGTCAGCAGTGGCACTCTGAATTCAGGGCTGAAACTTCTCTGATTTTCTTTCCTGCTACCAGCTAGAGAAAGCGCCTGCTTTTTAGGGATTCTGTTTCTCTCTCCTGCAAGGAAGTAGATCGCTGGTGTGAAGATTAGCGGGCAATCTGCACACTGTCTACCTTGTGTACAGAAGAGTGAGGCCCAGGTCTCCACACAGGAGGGGAGAGTGTACTATGCCATGGTCATTGTTCTTCTAGGCAAGAGGTGGGAGGGCTCTGTCTTGGCTGATCCAGAAGCAGGAGTTAGAAAAAAGATAAATTTTCCTGGGAATTATGTGTGTGATCAAAAGAGATCAGTGACCCACGCAAGAGATCTGAGTACCTGGTGATCACAGGGACAGGTCACTGTGACCAAAGTCACTAGGCAAGAACAAGCAGACATACAAGTGTGTCAAATGCAAATGAAACACAGCTCGCAAAGTCCCCAAGCGTAAAAACTGCACCAACTCTACCCCTGCAAATACTGAAGGTCAACACATTTATCTGAAAGTAGGTTCCAGCATTTAACTATACTGCAAACTCTGTCCAGTCATTCACTGCATTTCAGCACTCTTGAGCATTAACAATAGATATAGGGCCGGCCAAATAACTCAGCAGATTAAAGTACCTGCAAGCAGGCACAGGGGCCAGGGGTTCGATCCCTGGGCCTCTGTGCCGGCCCCACCCCCCACTGCACACTGAGACTGCAATTGAGACTGGGTGTGGTGGTACATGCCTGTAATCCCAGCTCTTGGGAAGCTGTAAACAGGCAGATCACTATGAGTCTGATCTAGTAGTGAGACTCTGAACACCCTCTAGACCCTTCCCTAAAATACTAAGACAAACAAAAAACAACAACAACAACAACAAATGGAAGTAAAGGGTTGGCCAAATAGCTCAGCAGACTAAAGCACCTGCTTCAGAAGAGCACAGTGGCTAGGGGTTTGATCCCTAGTGTGCCGTGCTGGCCCTGCCCTCGGGGTGCACTGAGATGGTGACTGAGACTGGGCATGGTGGCACGCACCTGTAATCCCAGCACTTGGGAGGCTGAAAACAGGAGGATCACTACAAGTCTGATCTACGTAGTGAGACCCGGAACACCCTATACACCCTGTCATAAATTGATTTTAAAAAATGGAAATAAAATAAAAATTCAACATATAGTTCCCTGTTAATACCAAGGATCTCAATCTATGGGAAATGTTGACAGTGACAAAGGCCATTAAAATGCTTAGGACAACTGACAAACAGCAGTTCTAGTGTGACACAGGTTGCCTGTGGGAGGCAGGCAGGATTGGCAAGAGGAATGCAACTACAGATGGGGCCTGCTATGGGATGCCTATCTGTCCCCATGGACCTAGGATGCTTCTCCCTTGTACAGAGACATCAGGAGCAAGTAGCAGCCACGTAAGAGAGACTGGGGTACAGCAAGTGGCCCGTTCTAGGAAGGCTGCGGGTCTCTGTGAGCTCAAAGTCTCTTCTCCTGCCTAGAGATGGGGGCACCCAGCAGGCAGGCTGCGAGGAGCCACCATAATTCTCCTCTTACATTCTGGCCTGAGACCAATGCAGGGATCTACAGAAGCTCCAGGGACACCAGGGAAATAAGCACCAAATAATAGTACAAAGGCTATGAAAATTAAATTGCCCTTGGAATCAGCCTAAAAGGCAAGCCAAGGTCTACATGCTGAATGTAAACAGGGCAACTATTGCCCAAGCAGAAGATTGAAACACATTTCAGAGTCCTTAATATAGACAAAAGGTCCAGGAGGCTATAAAAACATCACACCTCCGATTAAGAACAAAGAAAATCACTCATTATGAAACAGAAAAGAAAAGTATCCAATGATTTCAACATCAAGATGAGTCTGAAGTTAGAATTATCTGACAAGGATTTCAAATGATCAATTACAAATTCTCTGAACAAATAAAAAATCAAACTGATAAAACTTCTACCAAGAATGAAGATAAAAGAAGATAGACATAAAGTACAATTATCAAGAATGAAATAGAGGGGCTGGGGAGATAGCTCAGCTCAATGCCTGGCAAGTGTAAGGATCTGGGTTAAATCCCTGGTACTCTATGCTGTACCGGCCCTGTGCTGAGTCGGCCACTGAAACGATGTGGTGGTGCATGCCTGTAATCCCAGCACTGGGGAGGCTGAGACAGTAGGATCACTGTGAGTCCTAGCTGTGTATCAAGACCCTGTACCAAATAAATAAATAAATAAATTTTAAAAAGAATGAAATAGGGGCATTACTATAGGCCTTCAAAGCACAAAGAAGTTAAAGAAGTACAACAAACATATAAACTCATGAGCTCATAATTTAAACTTGTATCAACTCATTAATTAATAAATTAAGTCTCACACATTTGACAAACTAGGAAAAAGATGGACCAATTCCTTAAAAATCACAAATTCCCCAAACACAATAAAGTAGGGAATAATGTTAAAACTGTTACATAAATTGAATTCTTAAGGAAAACATCTTGAAAAAGAAATCTCCAGACCCAAATGGCTCAGTGATAATTTTACCAAGCATCCAAAAAACTACATCAATTTACAGGGAAAGAAAAGTGGTAACTGCCCACCCATTTGATAAGGACAGTATTAGCTGAGACCAAAACAGGAATTACTTCCATGTACTTTGTTACAGAATGCTTTAACAAAATATTGGCAAGTAGAATGTAGCAGTACAGTAAAATATTATCCAGTGGGTCTAATCTGGAGGCACTCAAGATGTGCGAGGCTGCTTGGACATCTGAAATCAATGGAACGGACTGTATCAATAGACCAAAAAAGACAAACCACATACCAATTGACATCGAAAAAGGATTTGACAAAATCTAACACCCATTTTATGACAAAAGCTTGCAGAAAGCTAAGAATGTGGAGAATTTCCTTAATTTGATAAAGATCATATACAAAGACATACAGCTAAAGTCATACTTCTTTTTTACTTGTATTTTAGGGAAGGGCCTACAGGGTGGGTGTTCAGGGTCTCACTACTAGATCAGACTCGTAGTGATCCGTCTGTTTACGGCCTCCCAAGAGCTGGGATTACAGGGGTGTGTCACCACACCCAGTCCCAATTGCCGTCTCAGCACCCCCCCACGGGTGGGGCTGGCACCTTAGGTCTGGGGATTGGACCCCCGGCCCCTGCGCCTGTTTGCAGGCACTTTAATCCACTAACCTATTTGGCCAGCCCTTAAAATCATACCTACGGATGCAAACTACATAGATGACAAACATGTACAGGCTCAAGTGTACAGATAGTCAAGCACACAACATACATACTTTGTATGTGTACAAATGACAGACAAAACTTGAGTAATTTGAATAAGACCTTGGATTGTGTCGATGTCAATTTCCTGCTTTCAGTATTGCAATACTATGTTTTAAGATACTAGCATTGGCCAAGGCAGGATGCAGGCTAGGTCTACGGGATTGTTTGGATATACAATTACCTTAATAACAATGTCAATTAATAAATCTCCCAGGAGGTGGGGATTTAGCTTAGCAGGAGAGCACTTACCCAGTATGAGCAAGGTCTGGGGTTTGATCTAGTGCATTGAGAACAACAATGACCACAAACCCTCACAGGCTTAGGGCTTTAAGGAAATGCTATGGGAATTTGATTTTACTCTGTCTTCTTGTGCTGAAGAAAAAGCAGTAGAGGCATTTTATCACCGATACCTGCATGCAGGACTTTCTTTTTCTGCAGCTTTTGATTTGAAAGCTCCCAGGGTACTTTTGACATATTTGGGGGTAAGGCTCCTGTTGATTCAACATCATATTGAAGTTTTGCACATTTTTCTGGGGTTGAAACCATAGAAGAGATTTCCTTCTGATGTCTATTTTGATTAGGATAAAAAGTAATAAAAAAAAAAAACCAAACAAGATGAAAAAAAGGGAGAGAAAAAGAAAATTTGCATCAAGAAGGAAGAGTTACAATAATGCATTTGCTGTCAAACATTGCAAGCTTAAAGAACTAAGCACTCCTGTATTTGGTTGATGTAAAAATGGGCACTTGTCTCTGCCTCGGGCAGAAGAGTGGGTGGGAGTTAAATGTAACCTCTGTCTAGGGTCTGTTCCTTCCCGGATGTGTGACATCAGTGAAGTCACTTGATCCTCCCTAACTTCTTCACTTTCCTCATCTATGCCTGAGGCAAGAAGGTCACCTGTGTGGGCGCGACAGGACGATTCGTGGGAGAGCTGGGTGCAAACACAGATTACAGAAACCTATGTTGCTAACTCGGGAGTCAACCAGCAACCCCGACAAAAGCCAGCAAGGGAAGCTTCCGCGCCAGACCTCCCAGACAAGCAGGAGATCGCTGCAGAGCACTTTGGAGGAGACGCAGGCCAGGAGAGACCAGGAAATCTCGAGCGCTTGTGCTAGCATTTCTGTCCTCAAAGCTCTGAACACGGCGGCCACAGACAGGAAAGTTTCCAGGACAAGCTCCTGTGCCAACACCGCGCTCCTCCTCCTCCAGCCTCTCCCACTCCCACCTACTTTGGTCTCCACCGAGCGCCCTGGCCGTGTTCCGCAGCCTCTACGCGCCCGGACCCACACAGCGCCTCCAGAGGCACAAGGATCGAGCCTACGTTCACCTGAGCAACCCTGACTCCTGGTGCAGGATTTGGTCTCCGTAAGTGCTTGGAAAAGGAGTTGGGAGCTGGTGGTAAATATCTTCCTCCCTTGGGAAACTAGGAAAAGGCCGGGCATATCCCCGTTAACCCAGCTCATGGCCTCTCCTGACCATTGTCCCCACGTTCTATCAGGAAGAGGAAACTGGGGCTCAGCAAGGTTAGGTAACTTGTCCGAATACCTATCAGATGGAATATTAAGATCTCTCTCTCTCTCTCTCTCTCTCTCTCTCTCTCTCTCTCTCTCTCTCTCTCTCTTTCTCTCTCTGCTTCCTGCAGCAATCCAAAAGGAAATAAAAAAGAAAAGACTGCACGAATCCACTTCTCAACCAAATAGTGGACACAGTCCACCGACCACTTCAACTTCCAAGGGATAACTGGGATCTTGTCCTGAGATTTTTAAGTCTATTTAAACAAGAAAAGATAACTGATTTTAGTGAAAAGTAGAGAGAAGGCAATTCACATTTAAGTGCAGCTCCTTTGATTCTTAGTTTTACTTGTCCAAATTTGCTGAGATTAGAAAATGTATCTGTAGACAGGGATCATAAATATTTAAAAATTAATGCTGTGAAAGGGTGTGGCCCTGCATATCTGTAATCAGGAGGCTAGAGCAGGAGGATCACCAGCCTGGACTACACAGTGAGTTCAAGGCCAGCCCGAACTACCTAGTGAGACCCTGTCTCAATCAACAAACAAACAAGCAAAAAAAAAAAAAAAAAAAAGCTGACATTTGCGTTATGTGAGGCCCAGGAGATGGAGCGGGGGTCTGGGAGGCCCCTGGCTGGGGGTCCCGGCGCTAGCACACTCACTTGCTGTCACCTTCCTTCTCGCCATTGTACCACCAGTCCATGATCACAGACTCGGAATAAAGGTTTTGCATCTTCTCTAAGTCGCTGTGCCCTTGCTCCACTTCCTGAAGCAAAAGCCTGAGATCTCCATTCTGCCAAAATGGAAAGTTGTGAACACTGTATGAAAGTGTAAATCTCACACACTTTTTTTTTGTACTAGGACTTGAATTCAGGGCCCCATGTTTGCCAGGCAGACACTGCACTGCTGAGCAACACCCTTGGCCCTCAAACACTTGTAACAAAAAACCAACTAGATTGGAAAAAAAAAATCTCAAGAATTTCATGAGACTCATTCCACTTCTGGCCAACTTCATGGCTGAACACATACACAGTTTACCACTAGGGAAGCTTGGAAATTCGCACTTGTGAATCGTTCTGATCAAGATAACCATCTTATGTATAAGCCCCAAGAAGTCTCCTGTACCCCACTATAAATATTCTTCCTTCTTAAAACCTCTTTTTCCAGTTCTCAAAGAACTACTGAGCATTCTGCCTCTTTAGTTTCCATTTTCTCGAATTTTCTAGAAATGGAATAGTAAATGCTTTTTTTCTTATATGGTTTCCTTTACTCATAATTATTTTGAGATTCACCTGTTGTAATGTGAACTAACAGTTCATTCATCTTGCTGCTGAGTAGTATTCTACTGTACATTACATATCAATATCTATTTACCCCTCACATCTTGATGGGTAGTTATTCCCAGGGGCACTCTCTAGCCCCAAGAGTAAATGTTCATAAAGCTAGGAATATCTATACCCAATTTTTTTTATTTTTATTTTTAGGACAGGGTCTCACTGTGTAGATCAGACTCGTAGTGATCCTCCTGTTTACAGTCTCCCAAGTGCTGGGATTACAGGTGCGCGCCACCATGCCCAGTCTTAATTGCCATCTCAGGTGTCCCTGGGGTGGGGCCGGCACTATATCCAAGTTTTTATTTGGACACTCGCTTCCAATTCTCTCAGGTAAGCTACCGTGGACTGCTTAGATCACATAAATGGTGACACTGAACTTTCATAGAAACTGCCACACTGTTTCCCACAGTGGGTGCACAGTTACATTCCCACCAGGAATGTGTGCAAGTCCCCGATCACCCCCATCCATGCACACATTTGGACATCTCTGTTTTAGCTTAGACCTGCCTTAACAATATCTAATCACAATTACATGCATGTGTCTCTAGTGACCATTGATGCTAAGGATGTAGAACATCTTTTCATGTTTTTAAAAATTTATTTATTTACTTATTTGGTACAGGGTCTCGCCCCGCAGCTCAGACTCACTGCTCCTGCTGTCTCTGCCTTCCTAGGGCTAGGATTACAGGCATGCGCCACCATGCCCAGTCTTGGTGGACCACTCAGTGCCCAGGACCGGCATGGTATGTAGTATGTAGTACCAGGGATCGAACCTGGGTCCTTGTGCTTGCCAGGCAGGTGTTTAGACTGCTGAGCTATCTCCCCAACCTTTTCATGTTATTTGCTGCACATATATCTTTTTTGGCAGTGTCTATTTAAATCTTTTGTCCATATTTTGAGTTTTTCTCATTATTATAACTTGAAAAATCTTCATATATTCTGAATACAGATCTTTTATTGGGTGTAATATAACTGGAGAGTATTTTACCCCCCCCCCCCGCACAGCTTTTCTGTTCACTGTCACAGTGTTATGATTTAAGAGAAGATGGTTTGATTTTAATTAATTCCAATTTATCAGCTTATTTTTTAAAAGATGGCGTTTGATATACTATCTTTAAAAATCTTTGTCTGATGAAAGGTTTTTCATATAGTCTCTTCTAAAGAGAGAAAAACAGGCTTTACATTTAGGGCCATGAATTGTTTTAAGTTAGTTTTTGAATATGGTATGAAGTATAAAGCAAAGTTAATTATTTACCTTTAAACATTCCATTGGTCCAACACTATTCCTTGAGGGGGTGGACTATCTTTTCTCAAGTAAACGCTTTTGTTCTTTTGTTATCTTGTACACCAGTCTATATCTGATTTTTCTAATTCTGTTTTGTTAATCTGTGTGTCTTCACTCATGCCACATTTTCTTGATTATTGTTGCTTTAAGACATCTTTTTTTTTTTTTTGCATTTTAGAGAAGGGTCTGCAGGGTGTTCAGGGTCTCACTACTAGATCAGACTCGTAGTGATCTGCCAGTTTACAGCCTCCCAAGAGCTGGGATTACAAGCATGCACCACCATACCCAGTCTCAATTGCTGTCTCAGCATGCCCCAGGGGCAGGGCTGACACGGCAGTTCTGGGGATCGAACCCCCTGCCCCTGTGCCTACTTGCAGGCGTTTTAATCCACTGAGCTATTTGGCCGACGTTTAAATTTAATTCTTATTGTGAAAAAAGCAATGTTTTCAGAAACTTTCAAACAGTTTGGTTGAAACTGTTTGAAAATATTTTCCCTTGTGATTTAGTCTTGTAAATTCAGTTAGCTCCACTACTTCTTTGTGTATTTCACTGGATTTCCCCATAAATGATGGTGTTGAATGAAAATAGACAGCTTCACTTCATTCTTTCCAATTTTGATGCGTTTCTCCCTGCTTCTTTTTCAAATTTTTTAAAAAATTACTTATTCATTTGGTATAGGGTCTTGCTAAGCAGCTCGGACGCGTAGTGATTATGCAGTACCAGGGATCGAACCCGGGTCCTTGCGCTTGCCCGGCTGGAGCTTAGATCGCTGCTTCTTTGTATTCCTGATAATTTTCAATTGAATGCCTGACACAGTCAGTTTTACTTTGGAGGGTGATGGATATTTTTGTTGTCTATAATTCTTTTGGGGGTTTATCCTGGGATGCATTCAGTTAAAAGGAAAAGGTGTGATCTTTTCAGGCCTTGTGTTTCAGCTTTGCCAGGTGGAACGGAAGCAGGGTGTTGCTCCCACTACCAAGCTAAGGTCTTCTGTCTCTTCTACCCAGGACTCAACATACCAAGAGGTTTTCCAGCCTTGTTGATAAAGCAGCCACTGCTCCCAGCTGTGAGCGACCCCCAGGTCTTGCTCTCTTAGATCCTTTTGGATAATTCAGTTCCCCGATCCAGGCAGTGTCCCCAGTGCAAACACTGACTCATTCTTTGGCTTGATCTGGGTTTAAAGTCACTCCTCAAGGTATGCAGAGAGCTAAAAGACTCCTCTCTTGGAGGGTATCCTTTTTTATTTCAAAAATTTTATTGCTTATGTTTTTACAAGTCCAGAGAGTTATAATTAGATTTTTGGTTTAATTTACCACTTATGCTTTAAAATAAGGAATAAGTCCATTTCATCAGGATAAACCTATAATATCAGTACCTTTACATTTTAAATCTTTTAATTTTTTATTTTATTTTATTTTAGGGAAGGATCTACAGGGTGTTCAGGATCTCATTACTAGATTGGACTCATAGTGACCTGCCAGTTTACAGCCTCCCAAGAGCTGGGATTACAAGCATGCACCACCATACCCAGTCTCAATTGCTGTCTCAGCATGCCCCAGGGGCAGGGCTGACACGGCAGTTCTGGGGATCGAACCCCCTGCCCCTGTGCCTACTTGCAGGCGTTTTAATCCACTGAGCTATTTGGCCGACGTTTAAATTTAATTCTTATTGTGAAAAAAGCAATGTTTTCAGAAACTTTCAAACAGTTTGGTTGAAGGAAAAGCAGGCCTGCGTGTCTCCAACCCCTAGGCCATTTCTTTTACATATTTATTATTTCAATATACCTAGATGGGTGTTCTTAAAATACATACCTGCAGGCAGGAGGATTGGAGAAGAGAATCTCACTGACTCTCTCTTGGATATTAGGATGAACTGCTTTATTGGATGGTCACATGGTTATATGAAGGAGACCATTATGAAGTAGCTTTGAACAGGGTTTAAAATTAACCAATTGGCTTTCTACGTTTACTTGTGAGTCTGTCCCAGGCCCAGGCCCCCTGACTGGAGGTGGGCAATGGACCCATGGTAAATGAACCTCTGTGAGTCACTGGTCCCAGCTGAGGCCTGCAGTGGCCTCTGATGCTGTGGCACCTCCAAGGACAAGACAAGGACACAGCAGAGCCTGGCTCCAACCCCAATCAACTAGATAAAGACTGCACCCACAGGTATCTCACTCCTGCCATGAAGCCAACCTGGGAATAAGACAGTTCTCCTATATTAACATAATTTATTCCTTGGAGAATCTTTGAGCTGATTCTTGAGGTTCTGTTCAGTTTCCCATGCTTTCTACTCTAACCTCTTCCTTTCTTTGCAGAGCAAATAAATTCCTAGAGTTCTTTGTCTCAGAGAATCTCAGATTATGCTAGAGGGTTTTGATCCTTTTGGAGCCCTAAAATCATGACACTCATCTCTTCTATTTAAGCCTTCACAGTCCATTTGTTTGGGAGGTTGTGAGTCTGATTTGTCCATCATAATTATATAGTTTAAAAAGTCAAAAGACAACCATCTCATATGTGAATATTTTACAAGTTTCCCAGAAATGCCTTTACACAGCATGGTTAACAAGCTTCACATATGAAACCCTTGAATCACTTAATATAATACATATTCCTAAAGTTTGAAAAAATGTTGATAATTATTGAATTTGAATGACAGTTCTTTGGGCCTATATACTTTTGTGTTTATTTGAAACTTTAAAAAATAAAATAGAAATGAAAAGAATCTACACTAAGCTTCCTGGACAGCTATGCTACAGCTTTACTTAGCACTCCAAAGGGAGACCTTAGAATCCACACTGTCACAACTGCCTTAGCTCAGGGGGACGCCTGGACCACATTTGAGGAGCACTGATGCATACCTTGTTCCTTTGCTCTACTGGGTTTTCTTCGTTTGCAGTTTTCTCAGCTAAGATATTGCCTGCGCCTGGATCTCCACTTGTAATGCATGCGAGCATGAATGAACGAACACGGGGCTAAACTAGCCCGCTGATCTCTCACCTGCGCAGCCTCTTCAGGAAAGGGGTCCTTGCAACTGAATCTGTAAGAATGGAACTTCCCACCAGTCACAGAAGCAAGCTCTTTCAGGAAGTCATTAGCAAGCTCGTCATGGTAATTGAAGGAGATGGTATAAACAGGGATTTTTTGAAAAGCTTTGACTTGGTCGATCACCATTTCAGGCGGCTGAAATGATAAGGGGATGGGAAAAGGGGAAGAGAAAGAAAAATAATAAAACACGAAAACCCATATTATTTTCCACAGACAGTGAAAATCCAAAATAGTAATTCCTTATAGTGAGCAGCTTTGTAAATATGTTGATTCACTGTAATATACTCTACCAGATAGTGAGAGCATGAAGACCAATATTCTCTGGCTCTTTGAGGATTCACATTTTAGTGGGAAAAAGAAGGAAGAAGAAAGATTTGCATAACCAAATTGCTCTGTTTTAAATGCACCTGAGTGTAGACTCCAAACACTGCTTAAGTGTCTAAGGCCACGTAAAGTACCAAGGTCAAAACCCCTGGGGAGAACATCTGGATTCTACAGCGTGGACTCCCTGGGTTTTCAACATGGCTTCCAAAGCACCTCCACTGAGAGAGTAACTGCCGGCTTCTGCTATGCTGCGGCCAACTGGCTGCCCGTGCAAAGCGAAGGAGAGAAGTTTATTAAAAACCTTTCCATGTGTTGGCTATTCATTTTCTCAGTTAATCCTCATAACCACTCATGAGGTAGTTTTGAAAGGAACATTAATGGCCTGGCCTATCTAACCCCTCTAGCTGAAGAGAGCCCATTCCTCTCTTCCTCTTTTACTATCAAAGCCTTGGTTTTCATTTCATGGCCCTGTTAAGCACACCCACACACACCCACACCCACCCACACACACACACACACACACTCACATACACCCACACACACACACACACACACCAATGAAAACATATAAACATACTTAAAATTCACCTTCTGAGATGTCAGCCAGTGAGAGGTACCCATCATGAAGGATCCCCTTCCTCCGATAAGAAGACTAAAGACTTGCAGAAAGGCGGAAGGGCTACTGTCTTTTCCCCTTTTCCTCCCTGGAAAACGGACACTGTCCTCCAAGACTGCAGCCTTGTGGTGACCAGGAGGAAAGAAGCCATATATAAAAGTGGTGGAACAAGAAGCCTGTTCTCTTGGCGACATCGTTGGGTAGCTAGCTGTACAGCCCAGAGCCACTGCTGGACACCCACAGAAACAAGCGCTTCAGTTTTCAGCGGATGTTTTATGCCCTTTTACCTTGTCTCTGGGGACACATACTTCTAACTGACGTAGTAAGACGGGGCTCCATTTAAACACGGGGAAGCTGAGGCTCACCCACGCCAAGTCTCCCGAGGTCGCTGAGCTCTTAAGTGGCAGGAGGAGAATTCACAGTCCAGTTTTTGGTATAGAAGCAATGCTGTACGGTGTGTTCCCTGGTGCACACTACAGGCCATCTCTTCATAAGAACTAATTCTCAGAAAATGTTACTTAACTTTTAGGAAAGCAGAGTTTTTCTACCATCTTGTCTCCCCCCGTCCCCAGCTCAGCTGGGAGAGAGTGTCCTCAGTTGTCCTGGTCCCTTTTCGAAGACCCAGAAGGCTGGCTCCTTCAGCCAGTTTCTGTCCTCTCCCTCTGGTTCCCTGTGGTAACCGTTTCGCACGTATTTTTTCGCGGAGTCCGGGGAAGACAGGTGATGGAGAGGGAACTCTGGACTGACCCCTAGCTGGCCTTGGACACATGGCACATTCCCTGGGGAGGCTTCTGGGGAAATGTCCCCCTCGGGTGTGGGCTTGGCTCAGCCATCACTTGCACACAGCCTCAGTCTCTCTGTCTGGCTCCAGCTCAAGTCTGTCCTTCCCCATTAGCTCTTCCCCATGCCCATCAGCCAGTTGCCTAAGCCAGCACCAACCCAATCTAGCTGAAGGGCTGACCCCATGCTTCTTGCCAATGGCAAGGACAGAGCAGAGACCTCTGCCACTGCTTCTCCTCCCTCAACTCATCTTCCTTTGCTGAGTACACATCTTCCTTTGTGGGAGAAAAAGAACTGTGCTCGTGTTCCCTCCTCAAGTCCCAGCTACAAGTCCCATCCCTTGGCGTGTTGCTGTTATGAGTTGTTTCTTATCAGGAACCCCTGCCCACTTCCTTTCAACCCTCACTTTTTTCTAAAGAGACCAAGATTCTGTTTCTTTGTTTGTTTTTGGCAGAACCGGGGATTGAGCTCAGGCCCTGGCACTTGCCAGGGAAGCGCTTATTCTACTGAGCCATCTCCCTGGCCCCGAGACCTAGATTCTGTTAATCTGACAGACATAGCACGAGTCAGGAGCAACTCCTGTATGCAGCTCAGATATTTGGGAAAGGAGACAAAAAGAACGCTCACTTCAGAACAACGGCACAGGTGCCAGGAAGCACGAGTGGGATTTGCAGCTTCTCAAATGTTCCTTGGTGTTATAGCCTGTATCTGTCTGTTGCTGCCTGCGTTCCCAGGAAGAGGGCAGAACTCTGCCCATAAAAGGTAATAAATAAATATCTGCAAATCGCCTTCCTGGGACCATCAACTCATTTACCCTTCAGAGCAACCTTTGAGGCAGGAGGACTAGCTCTAAACCGTAGGTTAGAGGACACTTGCAAGTCATGCAGGCAAGCAGTATGGGCGGGGAGCTTCTAAGCAAGTTCCATTATTCTAGACAGCTACGAAGAGCATGTGCACATGAGAGACTGCTAAGTGTGTCACTGGAAGTGCCCCACCTGCGCCCAGCACCAGGGAGAGCCACAGCAGTGAGACCTTGCAGCGCCCCTTGTGGTGCTGGGGAGCAGGAGAGGGTGCGGGTGCTTCTTGATTACACAGCAAGCTGCCCCTGAGGGTTCTTCTAGCTGGTTTACAACCTCAGAGATGTGAAGAGGGGATTCAGGCTGATGCCCGCCTCTGGCCACCCAGTCTGCCTGACCCTGGCTCCCCAACCTCGCCTTCCAGGAGGGCTAGGGGCTGGGGAGCTCAGGCCCTGTTCAGCTCCTGCGCAACAGCAAGGCAAGGCGTCCTTAGGGCTGCCCATAGAAGCTCCTAGCTTTCCGCAGTCCTCAGCCAGGGCTGCATAGCCAAGATGTACAGCCAGAGCCTCTGCTACCACGGACATCAACAGGGAACAGCAAGGATGCCACACTTGTTCTCAGCATGGCCAGAAGGACACCTGCTGGTGCAAGACCATCACTGTGTGCCATCCCATCCCTGGCTTTCACAGACCCCTTGGTAGGCACTGATTAGCAGTTCTTGTCTAGTACTTCTTGCGTAGTAGTTCTTGCCTAGTAGTTCCTGTCTGGAAGCTCTTATCTGGTACCTCTTGTCTGGAATGATGCAAACAGCTTCATGATGTCTGTTTCCCTGATTCCTACCAGGCAAAGTGCCTAACTTTGAAGAAGTCCCAAAATGACCCCAGCTGGAGCTGAGCTGGGCTCCTCCCAGCAGAGTCCCTCCCCCAGGCTCAGCCAGATTCCCAACCCAAGGATGCCTCTCTAATGTGAATCTGATTACATTTTAATGGAGATTGATATTTATAGAAGCTTAATTCTAAAAACATGATTAATTTTAAAGAGTTGTATCATTTTATCCCACGGGCCTGACCATTTTCATAAGCAAACAGTCAGCTGGTGTCTATGTAACCAAATTCAGAAGGGCATCTCTGTGTATTCTCCCAGGTAGAAAATTCTGCAGAATACCCTGAATAAGTAGCCTTGGCCTTATGCAGTCAGTTCCTTCAAAGCTGGTTAAAATTCAAAAACAAATGGAGACTGAGTGGTATGCTTAATATGGTCTACGTAGAACACAAATACCTCTGAGATCTATTTGCTTTCTTGAGAGAATCCTAGAAATAATACATAAGAAATGAATGCATGTGTGAAAAGGCAGCTATGAATATAAAAATTCTTAAAAGTTTGTAAATTATACTTTGGGTAATTTGCTTATTTCTAACCCCAAATATTATCCACATGAGTGGTTCTTCTGTTTACATGGACAGCAGACTCTCAAAATCTAATGACAGGTACTGATCTTTAGAAACATGAATAATTCACTCTGTGTATACTCGTGGGGGATTCTGCGATGGCCTTCAGATCATGAATCCTCAGCACACTGTTGGTAGTAGTGTCACTTGCATCTCCTTGGGGAGTTATTTGGCAATGTCTCTCAAAATGTGTCTTTTTGCCCGAATCTACTTTACTTACACATATGCAAAATGATACATGCACGCAGTTTCTGTCACAACAGTATGTGTAATGGAACAACTAGGAGCAATCTAAATGCCGATCCCTGGAAGACTTATTTTTGTCTGGCTCAGCCTGCCCTGAGGGCGGGGCTGATGAGGCATGTGGTGCCAGGGACTGAACCACGGTCCCTGTGCCCTTGCCTAAGCTTGCCTAAACAGGCGCTTCAGACTGCTGAGCTATCTCACCGGCCCCCTGACTATTTAACTAAATTATGGAATAATTATGTGACAGAACTATAAAATATAAATTATTGAATAACCATGTGATGGAAACTATATCAGGAGGGGTTGGGGAGATGGCTTAGTGGAATAACTGCTTCCCTGGCAAGTGCAAGGGCCTGAGTTTAATCCCTGGTTCTGCCCAAAAAAAAAAGAAAGAAAAGAAAAGAAAGAAACTGTATCAGGGAACTCTTTCTGAAGTGATATGAAGAAATAAATGTTCAAGGTGTTTGATAGATAATGGTGTACAATTATGTGTACAATATACTAACATTTGTTCTTCTTTCTTTTCTTTTCTTTTGAGGCAGAGTTTTGCTGCTATCCAGGCTGGTCTACAGCTTGTGATTCTCCTGCCTCAGCTTCCCGAGTAACTGGGATAATGATGTGCACCACTGTACCTGGATCATTTGTACAACTTTAAAAAAAATTATGTATTTGGTACAAGGTTTCGCTATGCAGTTTGGACTCACACTGATCCTTCTGTTTCAGCTTCCCCAGAGCTGGTATTATAGGCATGCACCACCACGCACAATTTCAGTAGCCAGCTCAACGGGCCTGGGGCGAGGCTGGCATAGCATGCATTACTGGGAATCAGACTTGGGTCCTTGTGCTTGCCAGGTAGGTGCTTAGACCACTGAGCTATCTGCTCAGCTCCTTAAAAAAAGTTTTTAAATTTTTATTTATTTATACTTTTTCTTAGAAAAATAACATCAATTTCCTTATAGCTGATAAACATGAGTCAGAGAAAATCTTTTTTCTCTGTTTGTCCTTTTATGCCTTTTTTTATTTGGACCACATGAATATACTGCCATTCAAAATTAAAATTAAGCTAATTTTTGAGATAAAAGTCTTATTAAATCTGTACAACAGACATGATGCATTCATTGAAAACAATGCCTCTAAAATATTTCTTAAGACTTGCAAAAATGTATATGATATATTAGAGTAAAAAAAGAATACAAAACTGAATTTTGCGTAGTTGAAATTTATCTCTTTTTATGCACAGCATTATTTTCTAAATTTCTTCTAGTATAAACAATTTTAAAAGAGATTATTAAGAAGAAAATGATGCTGTGTCCATATGACTCGCAAATTGGAATCTCCAGCCCACATCTCTCCCAAACCAATTCAGCCCCTATTTCTGGACATCTACAGTACAGGTAGATGTATTGTACATCTACCTCTGGCTCCCTCTTCTAGCACCCCCGGTCTGCTTGCTCCTTAAAACATAAATTTAAACCCATTAATAACAATCACCATAAGCCAGAAACCAGTCATCTTGACTCCTTCTGCCCTGCTTCCTCCAATTCACCCCCGCTCCCCACCCCCAAACTGGTAGCCTCATCCTGGGGATGCTACTTCTGGTCCTGGGGATACTACTTCCGGTCTTGGGGCTAATACTTCCGGTAAACCACACGCTTTCAGAGTGGGCGTTCAAGGACCTTCACAACATTTCCCAGCTCAGCTCTGGGCTTGTCAGACCTGGCCTTCTCTTGCTTCTTCTGCCTCAGCCTCTTTCTCTGAGGATCCAATGTATCACCACACCTCTGCCCAGAACACCATTTATACCCGCTGGTCATTTCCGTCTTTTTCATACGCAGCTCAAATGTCCCCTACCCATGAGACTTACCCCCACCCTTCTCTCCATTTCTTACAGCAGAATTCATCTCTCTGTTCTTGGAAACAGCAGTGGTACCCCAGTTCGTATATTGTATTAACTGTGTACGGCTAATACATTCCCCTAAGCACAAACTTCCCCCAGGCAGGATGAGCTGTTAATCATCTGCACAGCCTCAGATTTCAGAGCCACACAGGGAGCACAAGAGACACACAATGAACTGCCTCTGAATAGAAAATAAAGTGAAGTTGATAGGAAACCATTCAAAATGAGATTTCACTTTATGTACTACTGTACTTCTTTGCCATAAATCTAATGCTGTGGTAAAAATCCATTTGCATTATTATTTAATCCTTGAACCATCTGAAACAGGATATTTCAGAATATTTGCCCAGCCATCTGCATAGATAAACATCTTTCAAGGAAGGATTCAAGTTGATACTAACTCACTTTCAAGGTCAATTTACATTGTGCTGGCCTGAAAATCCTTGTATTTATTTAATGCCTGGAGCAGTAGTCTTTCATTCACAAAGCTTAAAAGAAGCTGAACAGACTTTCTAGAACCTTTCAAATATTTCCCAGCCAGGCTAAACAAAACAAAGAACATTTCCCTAGAAAGGCATGCTTTTGTTTAAGTGAGTGCTAAGTTAAAATTGGGGATAAAACCAAGGACATTCTTCAGTGACATGTTTAGATTCTGAACCCTTTCAAATGAAAGAAATCTAAAACAATCTCCTCTCTTAGTTTGTAGTAAAGCATACACCAGTGTTCAATGAAAGGCAGATGTCTCCTGGGGTTGGTCTGCAGGCCTATTCCTGTGGGTCACATTCTTTGTCACATAAATAACTCTCTGGAGTTTTGGCAGACACAGGAATTTCTTCATGTTTTTTCTCACCTTCATTCTGGCTTCTCTAGCCCAAAGAATGATCTCTCAACAGCTTTTCGCCCCAGGACTGAGGACTGAACCCAGAGACTTAGCACTGAGTTTGTGTCATCCATGGCCTGTTTTTATTTTGAGACAAGAGCTCACGAAGTCACTAGGCTGCCCAGTGGAGCACAAATTTGAGATCCTTCTACCTCAGCCTCTGGGACTGCTAAGATTACATGTGTGTATCGTTACATCTGGCTCAACAGCTTTCCAATGGCAGGTGTGAAAGGTCAGCATCCGCTTTCAGAGGATTGTTGAGCCCTTCTCTTTCCCAGCCTCGAAAATCAGTACCTGATCAGGTCTCCCGTCGGTCAGAAGGTAGATGACCTGTGTTTCCTGATCAGCAAAAGCCATCTGCAGGGCCTGCAGCGTGTTTGTGGAGCTTCCAACCTGTGGGAAAGAGAAATTCTCAAAGACCGCACCAACAACTAGTAGGTATTTCCTGCTTTTAAGAAGGAGGAAGAGAAAAATTGTGAAATAAAGAAAAAATAAACTTATAATGAGATAATATTCTCAACCCAGTGATTCCAAAAACCCAAATCCCTGTATGTGTCATCAACGTCTCTGTCTGGGCAGCCCAAGGACTGCTAGAAGCCAGGGCTGTGGATTTCCTATCTTGATGGCAGAGACCTTAATGCAATTCTATGTGTGTGTCTCTAACTCAGTTACCACTCACCCTGCTGTCAACAGAGCTTAAATATGCAGACTGCACACACGCTGGGGGAGAGCACCAGGATGGATTCAGGACACCAAGCACTGAGCAGACACGGTGTATTATCATCAGCACTCTCACAGCGGACCCACGGTGATTCTCACGTACCCTGAACCCATACGGTTCCGGTAAAATACATGTTCCAAGTATGTGGACTTTCAGTAGGTCGCTTATGAATGTATGGTAGGAAGTGGAAGACTCTAAATGTCCTACTTTACATGTGATGGGAATAAACAAACATACGGGGTTGATACTCCATACCTGTGGGTTCCATATTTACAGATGAAACAAACCCTGGGTTGAAAATATTTGATGAAAAATCACATCTGCACGTGTGTACAGACTTTGTTCCTTGTCATTTTTCCCTAAACAAATATAGTACAGCAATTGTTTACATAGCGTTTGCATTCTACTGGGGTAGGAAGTCATGGAGAGGTGGTTTGCATGGGTTATACACAAACACTAGGCCATGTTCTCCAAGAGACTAGAGCATCTGTAGAGTCAGGGATCAGCAGGGGGTCCTGGAACCAACCAATGTCCATGGATATGAAGGAAAACCGTACCAGCCAAAACCACAATCAATCAAGGGGAATGAATTATGGCCCATTCTCTCACCTACGTGACACATTAATCATAACACCATCCAACACTTCATGTAAAAAAAAGAGGTATCAATATACACATCATATGTCAAGGGAAAATAAGGATAGATTTTTAACAAACTCTCCAATCATGTTGAACAATTACAAAGTAGAAAATCTCTTGAATGATTTATCAATACAGAAATAGATTTTCAGATAAATGTAAATTCACCAAATGCACTTCCCTTAATATGCAAAAGCATGCCTTACCAAAATGCTATCAGTCAGAGCAACAGGACTTGGAGATTTCCAAAAGCCTGTTTAAGTCTTTACCCTCAAACCTGGTACCTCAGTATAGACTCAATAGTAAGAAAAACCAAGAGAGGTTGACTCAGGCAGAAAGGAGTTTGTGGTAGAGTCATTGGGTTGGCTCAAGGCATTACCAAGCTGCAGGGAAACCTGGACTGAGACCTCACCGCAGGAAGGATGTCCCCAATCCTGCTGCAGACCTGCCTCACAGAGGTCCCACTATTATGGAAAACAGACCAAACATGGGAAGAAGCGGCACCAAGAAGGTAAGAGGCAGTTTGTTATGCCAGTGGGCCTCTGACTGGGACTTCTCCCCAAAGAGTTAGAGTCCTGCATGGCAGCATTCTGGGATTTTATGGGGAGAGCAAGCTGGAAGTTACAAAAGTAGATTTGGCGCATTATGATTGGAGGATTGCGTGATGTCTTGGGTTGCTAAGAGAGTTTAAACATTGCGGGTTACATTACAAAGCTGCCAAATAACAGGCATGGCTTACACAAAGGAAGAAATGTTGTGTCCATGCTTGTCTGACAGGCATTCTCTGCAGGCTTTTATTTAAAATTTTAATTTCTCTTTCATTTCCCTCTCTTTTAGTTAGAAAAATCATTTTCAAGGATGTTGTTATTTAAGGGTACATAGGAAGTACTGAACCTGGGAGTCGTTTGGAGGCTAATACTGTATTTGTTTTGTAATAAAGGAGGTGAGCCAGTTGTGTGTCTTGTACTCAGAATAATAGAGATTTGGGCAGCCCCAACTATCATAGAAATGATCTTTTGTCCCTTTATAGTAACCTCTACTGAATGATTTCTTATGGTTTTGGTCCCAACCAAGGCAAATGTGTTTGTTATTAGCTCAGTATTTATGTTTCCAGTCTAAGCCTCCACAACCCAAGGAAAAAGGGCTGGTTATGTTAGGGTAGGCATCAAAGTACAGAGACATGGTGACCTGAGAGGAGTTCCCTTTAGTTCTGTTAAGCATCTTTAATAGTGCCAGCCAGCTGGACTTGGAACTCCCAGTGTCCTGAATTTGCACAGCAAGCACAAGGGCTTAGGCGAGCTGAGCAGAAGCAGACACAGGTTGGTAGTGGGCGCCATCTTGGCCCTAGGCAAGGCAGCTCAGAGTACACAGCCCAGTGGCTACACTAATGTAGAAGAGGAAGGTGACCTTATGTGGAACTTCTCGATCCTCTAGGGACACGGCCCAGAACCCTGGGGTAAATGCTGAGATTAGCAAGAGGAGGGGGACTAGAAGCAGAACTGGGTAGCAGAACATGAATCAGTCGGGGCTGAAGCTTGGGGGTATGGTGTCTGTCTGGCTCCAGCTGTGTGCAGACCCGTCAACTTCCTGAGTGATGAGAGCAGGGCTTGGAGCACGCTGTCTCCTCAGGGTCGTCATCAGCGGAGTTGACTCATCTGGGCAGGTTTTTCAGCAGGAGCCAGAGTGAGCTTTCTGATCCAAGCATGATGCATCCACCACCAGATCTCAGGAAATTTTTGTTGTGAGAGTGGTCAAAATAATTAGGTCAGGGCCCTTCCAGGTGGCTTGTAGGGGCTCTTTTTCCAATCTTTTATGCATATTAGGTTCCCTGGATTGAAAGTGCGTGTAGGGGTCCCTGTGGGGATGGCTGGCCTTTTAGCTATATTTTTCTCATGTAGTTGAGAAAAGGTTGTCCTAACTGTGTGGGTTGTTTCTTCAGAGATATATTACCTACTGATGCAGGTCTTCCTGGAGACCTCTAATTATGGGTGGGAGTCTCCCATACAAGACTTCGAAGGGTGCATATCCTGTGGGCCCCGGTGACTTTGGTCTTGAAGCGAGTTTACCCATGTGACCTGAGTTCCTCAGTGATATTTAGTTAATATGGACTTTAAAATCTTATTTTTTTAAACTCTTTCAGATGTTTGTGGCCTGTGTGCTACACATAAGCCCCATCTGACTTTCAATTCTTTATAAGCTTCTAGGTTATTTTTGTCATAAATGCAGGCCATTATGGCTGCCTATGGATGGGGAAGCCCTTATCGGGGGATAATTTCTCTTAGTAGTACTCTACAGACCTCCATGGCCTTTCTGTTTCAGTGAAGAATACCTCTGGCCATGCAGAGTAGGTATAGACAGGCAGCAGGAGATACTTGCAGCCTCTGCATGGCGTGACCTCTGTAAATCTGCGGGTTTTTAAGAGAGAAAGTCCAGCAGGCTGGCTCCAAGGAGGTCCAGACGGGGTTTGGCCCTTGCACAGATTTGACAGCTCTGACTATCAGAGGCACAGAGAATGCTAATTTGGGAATATACGAGTAGCATCTAAGAAGCTGACTCCTAGCAATGTTTTTCTTTTTTCTTTTTCTTTTTGGTAGGACAGTTTCAATAACTAACACATCGGCCTGGGAGATGGCTCAGTGGAATAAGCACTTCCCTGGCAAGTGCAAGGGCCTGAGTTCAATCCCCAGTTCTGCCAAATAAATAAATAACACATCGCATACATTCTTCCTAGTGGTTAATTGCTGTATAAGATGTGAATATGATATCCTATTTACAAACATTAGAATAAATCCCTCTATTCATTAAGAGAATGTAACTAAATCTATCCTAACCACTTTGAAGACACACATACAAAATGGACATTCATCTGTATCCCCTTTTTTTGTTTAGTTCCATTATTTGAATAATATAGATGTGTTAACTCAGCAAAATATTCTAAAAGAGTCCAGTAGCCCGCAATAGTATTGGGTCTTCCACTTGACTGGCAATGTCAGAAATTGTTGACCTGAGTCCCCTACAGCTCAACATAACAGCATGGCTTTACTTCTTATATTTTGTTTTTATACTTTTCTGCTGGATGGTTAAGACCAAGATAAAGCAAGACCTATGCAACAAGAGTTGTAGCTTTTGGATCTGATAAGGTCAGTAAAATCCCCTCAGGATTTATCCTGAGATCCTGTACCTCAGATTGCAGATCCTTTATCAGTGTCAGCCATGTGGATGAGTCATGGCCATTGCTTGGCCAATGTGCTCTCCGTGAAAGCCTGAGAGAATGTTTTCTCTCCATGTGACTCTCCTCAGGCACACTCTACATCATTGATCACTTTCCTCTTTGGCCCCATAATCTCCTTGATCAGAAAATTTGGGACACTACTGAGTTACATGACATTACAGTACAAGTTCTCATATGTCCTGAGTCTTAATTGACCTTGGAAGGCTAGGGCCAAAATGTTGGCTTTCCTTGCAGCCCTCCTTTTTCTCTAATTTGGGTCTGCAAACTTAGGTTGTTAACCCTCCAGAAGAGAAATTTGTTATTACCATACAACCGAGGCTGTTAAGCTTAACCTCACTATCTGTCTGAATATCAAACATCTTAGGCATAACATGGAGCAGGTATTTTTCATCAAATATTGATATGTTGAACTTTAAGTCCCTACAGAATATGATGAAAAAACATTTATAAATTAGAATATATTTTTAAAATAGGCATAAAGAATTATATACTTCTTATGTTTACACATAAGTCCAAAAATCTAACCATATACAACCTTGAGGCAGGACACACCCACAACATTCCTTTTCCTGTCTCCTGCCTTCATTCACCACCCCCTTCTTTTTGAACAACCATCTACCCGAGACACAGCACAGCAGCAACTGGCATGTCATGACAAGCAGCCCATATTCAGAAGACCAGAATGACAGGCACTCCAAGCATGAACTTACTATTACAAATTGCCATCTTCAGTGCAGTTGCTTAGTTCCTAGCAGTGTTTTTCTCCATGTGTCATGTCACGATGTGTATTACCCAGGCACA